TACTCCACCACGGCCGCCTGCTAATGCACGCACGTACAAACATGACCAGCCTCTAATAAACCACCTAATAGCATCACAGCCATTGATCACTATGGCAGTAGGCTACTACTTAAAAAAAAAAAAAACATGGCTGTAACCAGCTTTCAGGTCACCGAGGTCCGGACCTTCGTGATTATATGTAGACTAGCCTATTAATAAAACAAATTTGAATAAAAACCATTGATAACAAGCTCAACTTAAATAAAGGCTTTAGGACCATGTGGATGCAGCTGATTACACCAGGGCATCACTTTGTGTTGAAAAGTTGTGGAGACATTTAAGGCCTCATATTATAGTGGTGTGACCAAACACTTAGTCCACAAGATGTGAGAATGCACAATATTGGAGTCACGAGAACAAGACAACAAGATACTCCAATGCTATTTTGAAGAAATATTCATTAATGAAATAGGCTATTTGATTGGCGGGTCTTGTGGTCCTCCTCCAGAAGATTTTGAGCATTAAACTCTTAATTTTCTGCATTCTAGAGACATTTTCTGACATGTCTTTATATGAAGGGAAACAAAATTCATGTGGCCGATGACAAATCAGAATATAAAATATTATTGAATATGATGCAGTAATCAGTTGGTTATTTTTTTAGCCTAAGTTACTTTTGTTGGACAAGGCAGATCCGTTTCTTCTATATTTACATTGCATTTCATGCTTTTCTATTATGCAAGTAGTTCTCATAGAATTTGTATTTGTTATTTAACTTTAAATTTTCAGAAAATGTTTAGCAAATGCTTTCAAAAAGTGGTGGGGACATGTCCCCAGTGTAAATGACACCTATATGATTACACCGTCATTGATAGTCAATGTCGAGACCCGGGGAAACACATGAAGCACATGGCAACGTTGTGCACATTAACTGAGAGCACCGCTGTTTGCAGGCAGAGTTTGTGGCGATAAATACGTTTAGCGAATTTCAGGTGGGTGAAACAGGGTGAAGCTTCTCCCCATGAAGAGAGACGCTGTGCGCATTTACGCACAAGCCACAGCAGCATAACTTCATATTATCATCAGGATCTAATGTTAATATGCTGTGTTTGTCAACACATCCAAACGGTCTCACACAGGCCAGGTTCATCCACAGACACCGTTTGAGTAAAGCAGTCCTACCGATCAGTTCTGAGCTCCATCAGAGCGTCTAAACATTTCAGACGCTAAAAGTTCTGTTTCCTCTTTCAGACCTGTCAAGATTTTAACTATTTTTGTTTTGCTGCATAAATGTCCCATGATATGAACTGTGACATTACTGCGCGCATGTAAACGGGCAGAGAGAGAGAGAGAGAGAGAGAGAGATCTGCAGCAGCTCAGCAGAAATGCAATTTTTAATAGGCCTAGTAAAAATAAAAAGTCAGTGTTTATATTGAGGTGGGCCGCCACAAATAATCAATGTATGGGATAGGGCTGACCCCAAATAGTCGAAGATTCGATGGGCGGAGCCTGATTTGACTGTCAATCTCACAGTCGAAGATTCGTGGCGAAACAAGGATCATGCCAGTCTGGCAATATGGCGGAGCTCAACGTCTGATTTTACATAGAACTACTAGTTTTCTCCCAATAAGTATACAGTAAGTATACAATAATATACAGCCTATTAAAATACACATTTCAATATATAAACAAACATGTAAAAAGAATAAAACGTTCAATAAGATTTTAAAAGTGCATAAGTCAAAAATTGTAACCCTAACCCTGGGTCGTCAGTGCGCATGTGTAGGCGTAGCGTGTGTGTCTGTGTGTGTGTGGGTGTGTGTAGTGGCAGAAGAGGAACACTTGCTGAAGAGACTTACAGTAGCCCCTGCTTCACTGGTGTTGTGCCGAGTTGTCCACACCTCATGGGACTTTCGGATAATTTATCACTGTTGATAAACCACACAAATATCCATCCATCCATCCATCCATCCATCCATCCATCGTCAACCGCTTATCCTGCGTACAGGGTCACAGGGGGGCTGGAGCCAATCCCAGCTGACATCGGGCGCAAGGCCCACACAAATATATTGTTTTTAAATAGCCAGCCACTTGAAATAGACCCGCGAGGAACCGTGATGTGCACGCAGTTGTCGGCAGCAGGGCATGCATGCAAAACTCACAAGAATGACAGGCGAGAGAGAGAGAGAGAGAGAGAGAGAGAGAGAGAGAGAGAGAGAGAGAGTCTTCAAAAAGCCTCAGTTTAGCTGGAAATTTCCAGTGTAAGTTGAATGAATAGAGACTGCAGCTCTGCAGCTTCTCAAGATTAAAGCGGAGCTACCTGTTATGGCAGACTAGGTGAATGGGCTCAAAAGCAGACTCAAGTCAGGTTCAAATCCAGGAATTTAAAGTTTATTGAAACATGGCGTGAGAGCTAAGCAAAGGGCAGACCAGGGAATGGAGACCAGCGAGTGAATGAAGATAAGTGATTTCAAAAGAAACAGACAGAATATATAGCACGAGACTTGTTGCCCACAGCACAAATACCACTGAGGTAAGCTGACAATGAGTGAGTTAAAGAACCGGGTTAATATACTGTCATATCAGTTGACTATAGGCAGGACTTTACGAAACTGATTCAACTATCTGTGGCTTCGCTGTCCTCTCTGTTTAATCTTTCACCCATGAACCGGGGTGTGGCATCTTCCTCTTCCCGGTCTTAGCGTCTGTGGCCCTAAGTATAGGCTAAGGAAGGCGGTCCACCGGCCCCGAAGTTGGCCAGCCCATCTGGATTTGCCCTTCTTGACTTGTGAGCCATGGAAACAATTTGCATTTGCTGCACAGTCACACCTGACACCGCAGTGCTCTTACTACAATCCTCTCTGCATAGAGGATTCATTGTTAACATGTACAAACTTTTGCTCTGATTAATAGGATTTGAATCAGCTTGGAGCAGTACCTGTAATGCCTATGAAATGTTTCAGTCTCTCTAACATGTGATGGTCAGTGGTATCAAATTCAGCAGTAAGATCTAATAAAACCAGTACAGAGACAAGTCCTTTGTCTGATGCAATTAAGAAGTCACACAACTGATTGGTGACTGCTTTCTCAAGGATCTTAGAGAGAAAGGGAAGGTTATATATAGATGTATATAGTTAGCTAAAACCCCTGGATCAACACTGCATACATTAATACAGCTCGCAATAAAGATATCAGCTTAAGCTCACGCTGCTTGACATAATTTAAAGGCCCATATAGCCTACAGAAGTGATTCTCAAACTGTTTCATGCCCTAAACTGACACAAATTAGACCACGGACCCCCCTTTGACATGATTTTGTCTTGATGAGATTCTGGCTTTTCCATGTTTTAGTACAAAACGACATGAAAGGTTTATGAAACATGTCTGAAACCCATTTGTTATGGAATTATAGTTAAAATAAATTATTCCCCTTTTTGCTGGGGACCCCCTAGAGCCCCCTCATAGACACCTGGTCCCTGGTTCCACTTTGAGAACCACTGGCCTACAGGGACCGGTAAAGGTGGAGTGAAATGTCTATACAGGTGCAGGTCTCTAATCAGAGAAAGAAATTGCTCAGATACATGGCAGGAGGATGATGTCTGCGTACATGTGGATTCAGATTACGTAAATGCTGATTAAACACTGTGTGAGATAAAAGCTACAAATTTTCTTCAAAATCCTGGTGCAGTCCCTGCTATCAACATGCAGCTACCAGTTTTACAAAAAAAACCAACAATTATTGAGGCTCTGGCTTGATTTCTAGATTAATTTGGAAAACATTTAAATTTTATTCTTGTTTGAGAACAAAACTCAATATATTTTGATCAAAAAATGTTCACTTGTGAGCAACATTTTTCTAATGTTTTTCTTTACATAAATGTGGTATGAAGCAGTCAGGACTAAATGCAAAGCAGATTTAAACATAGACCCTACTAGTCAGTCACCATTTGTTACTTTTGAGGTTTAACTATTCATCATCGTAGCTATTTTAAAGTGATTTGATTAGTGACTTTCCAACATACTTTCTACCTCAAATTAGTTGATCTTTTCTGTCAATGATATTACCAGTGTTTAACTAAACCATTACTTAGTGTCAGTTATAAATAAATAAATGTTAGTATCCCACTTGTTTAAATATAACTGATGAAACTGATAATCAAATTATATTTTGCAGCAAATATGAATACCGTTATTATAACCAGAAGCTGAGGGAATAGATTTCTATTAGAAAGTGAAATAGCTTTTTGCACAGATGCACAGATATTTGCATGTGTTGGAGCCATGAGGCAATATGCAGGTTGACCAGAGACAATATGTAATGTTATGTTGCAGTCATTTGTGGACAAATGTAAATATTTGTCTGTAAGTGCTTTGACTACTGAAATAAAAGCTGGACTCGTGGAGTATTAACCAGGAAAGGTGACGTTGCTTGTGATAAGTGTATTTTAATGCAGGAAGCTTTCAGGGAAGGGAGATACGTTCTGATATAGTTACCAGAGGGCATCATATTAAAATCATTGTGGAGAAAGAAAAAGGTGAGTGAGGTTACTACAACTTAAATTGTAATTTCTTTAAAAGAAATTGAAAGTTTTATTTCTGATTTCAATAAATCTGTCTGTGGTCATTTGTGTAGAACATTTAGTCAGCTGATGTTGCTTTATTTTCTCCTCCACAGTAAAGATGCTGTGGAGTCTGTTGTTCATCTCTCTAATTGGTAAGCAGCTCATTTTGTGCACATGCATGTCAGCGATATTTTAATCTGTTGATAGACAGAATCAGATGTAGGGCAGAGCCAAATGTGAGTCATGAATAAAATAATAAAACAGTTAATTGTGTTTTACTACAAACTGCAAACCACCAAGTATTTAAAGATGAGATACTGAAGGATGAGTGTTCTGTGCTTACCAAGTGATATCAAAGTGATATAGCCCCCAGTGACTTCGACACGACTAAAATCGAAATATTGAAATGGGAACAGGAATTCCCATTTAATCTTCTGGCAGGAAGTGCACATAGTGACGATGGTACAAGTAGGACTAAATGCATTTCTTTATACTCATCATTTTAATTCCTCTCAAGTCATGTCAAAAAGTAGTTTTTCTGTGCTAAATATGTAAGGGCAAATGTTTTGAAGTGAATTGTTCCATTCTTTTTTTCTTCATCTACAGCTCTCTGCAACACACAATGCTTAACACTGAATGGGACAACCTACACACATAATGTCAACTTCTCCTCTGAAAGAGCTACTGATGGAAATCAAACAGAATGTTCTATCACTCTGGAACGGTCAAATAACTCCTGGTGGAGAATTGACCTACCGAGTGTCTACAACATTTCTTGTTTCACTATCTACAGCACACATGTGACAACACTGACATAAGCGGTGCTCAGATCCACATTGGGAGCTCTCAAGAGAACAACGGCACCACTAACAGCATGTAATACCTTTATGTTACTTTGAATGCCATTTCACATTATCTGGCTTTGTCCTGTCCATCCTTTAATGTATCTATGATTGGCCTCAAGGATTAGAAATGACAAACACATCTAAAGAGGTCATAAGAGAATCGAATTCTTATGCTTCCAGTGACATTTCTAACTCACAGCACCAGTGACAATAGATTAACCCATGTGGCTTGATTTTTTGCAAAAAAGATAAATGTGACAGTATCAAGCCTTAAAAATCTTGGATGTGTGGAAACTAACAAAAGGTACTTTGTGTTGGCTGTCTTTGTAGTTGCTGCATCATTTAACAACATACCAAAGACACTGGCAGAGTTTCAGGAGTGGGACCACACTTCAATGACGTCACTCCGGGCATTTCCATAAATACCCACACAACCCATCTCTTCTTCGCTCTTGCATTACACCCCCCACCCCACATTCTCCATCTGGTCTCCTCATCTCCTTCCTCTCCATGGGGTTACTCTCTGGGTGTTGGAGGTGTCTGTAGAACTTGTTTCCTTTTTTCAGCTTCCACATTTGCAAAGCAAGCACAAACATCAGTCTTCCTGCCTTAACGTACAGTATGTTTATATTTTTCTCTCTTCCAGATGTAAAAGCATCACAAACTTCAAACAAAACCATTGGAATAACTTCACATGTATTACAACCATGTCGGGGTGCTACATCACTGTCTTCTATTCAGGAAATAAACCGTTAATTCTGTGTGAAGTGATGATCTAAGTGTTCTCACCCGCAACGTTGCTTATTCACTGCAGTGCACACATACAGTAACTGTGAGAAATTAGTTAATTCTTTACTGAAATGTCTCCTTTACAGTTAAATGTGAACAAATGGGAATTAATACGCTAAGAGCAGATATAATTATGACAAACAGTAAAAATATACCCAATGCACTAAAATATTTTAGTAGAAAACAGATTTACAAAACTCTGATATTTAAATTGACATACTGTGTGTGGGCTAACTGTTCAAGCTTATCAAGGTAAAGGCACATTTTTCTGGACTATTTTTCAACAAGTGATGGCCACAGGGCTCAAGGTCTGTTGCATGATGAATTATGTGTATATAATGTAGCCTGTGTATTCTCTGGAATTTCACACCATAGAAATGAAAAACAAAATCACTTTGAAATTTGTTTATTTAAATATTTCAGTCCACATGTGCCATGTGATACAAGGAAACTGACCATGCTGTTATTCATTAATCATCATTAATCATTATGTCACATGAGGTAATTTTTATGTGCAGTTGCAGAACAACAGGTAGTGAGGACCCTGGATGCACCTTTCAGTTTTTCGCTCAAGTGTTCACTTTCTAGAAATCTTCTCATCTCATACTCTTTGTTTTTATATTCAGAAACTTAAGAAGCGTAAGAGTTGAAAGACTTGACTTGATGCCATTATCAGAGGAAAGCATTTGTCTCTTCTAAAGTGGATGACTCCTCTCTTTTTGGACCCTCTGCTCTGAAAGTCCTTGTTGTGTGTCGCCCTGTTCTCGTTTTTAGTTTCAATTCACTTGAAAAATGTAACACTGATGTTTAGTTTTTTCTAGATTCACCCTTTGTGCTGATCAATCCGTGGAAGACGTGGGAAGAGGCCCTGTACTACTGCAGGGACAATTACATGGACCTGGCTTCCATCGTTGATGAAGACACCCAGGCCTGGGCTGAGCTGGAGGCCAAGAAGGCCAACACTCCCTTTGTGTGGCTGGGCCTTCACTACACCTGCACTCTGGAGTTCTGGTTCTGGGTCGATGACCAGCGCCTAGACTTCAATCGCTGGAAACCAGAGAAGAAAAGAGGAGATTGTGGCATGAGTGGTGCCATGGAGACACGAGAGGAACATCTCTGGTTCAGCACCTCTGACCACGAGACGTTTAATTTCATCTGAGCAAAGTAAGAGAAATCAATGTTTTGTTTTTCTCAACTGCTTTAATAAAAAATTTAACGAGTGTCGGTGGTGGCATTTTTGTGTGTCACTGTAGATGCGTTCAGAAGCAGAAGTTTTTGTCTCATACAGATGACCCTGAGTACTGCAATGGATATTCTTACAACTCATGAGAGGCAATGTCGCTACTGCCACCTGCTGGTGTAGCTAATAAACTGCTCTCACATTTACAGATCTCTGTTTACAGATCTCTGTGGTACAGAGTGGACAAAATTCCACAAATGCGTAAAAAGGAAGTCACAAATGTAACGTGACCTGCAAATTGACAGGAAATGATCCGCAAATGCGCAAAAACTGTTGTGTGTAAAAATAGATCCACAAATGCATAAATAACTTTGTATGTGAAATTAAAATATGTGTGTACAGAGAAAATTGTACATAAACTCAGCAAAAAAGAAACGTCCCTTTTTCAGGACTGTGTATTTCAACAATAATGTTATAAAAATCCAAACAACTTTACAGATCTTCATTGTAAAGGGTTTAAACAATGTTTTCCATGCATGTTCAATTTACCATAATCAATTAATTAACATGCACCTGTGGAATGGTCATTAAGACCTTAACAGCTTACAGAGAGTAGGCACTTAAGGTCACAGTTCTAAAAACGCAGGACACTAAAGAGACTTGTCTACCGACTGTGAAAAACCTGCTCATCTGCGTGAACGTGCATTAGGCATGCTGCAGGGAAGCATGAGGACTGCTGATGTGGCCAGGGCAATAAATTGCCATGTCCGCACTGTGAGACGCCTACGACAGCGCTACAGGGAGACAGGAAGGACAGCTGATCATCCTCGCAGTGGAAGACCACGTGTAACAACACCTGCACAGGATCGGTATATCCGAATATCACACCTGCGTGACAGGTACAGGATGGCCACAACAACTGCCCGAGTCACACCAGGAACACACAATCCCTCCATCAGTGCTCAGACTGTCCGCAATAGGCTGAGAGAGGCTGGACTGAGGGCTTGTAGGCCTGTTGTAAGGCAGGTCCTTACCAGACATCACCAGCACCAACGCCGCCTATGGGCACAAACCCACCTTCGCTGGACCAGACAGGAATGGCAAAAAGTGCTCTTCACTGATGAGTCACGGTTTTGTCTCACCAGGGGTGATGGACGGATTCGTGTTTATCGTCGAAGGAATGAGCGTTACACCGAGGCCTGTACTCTGGAGCGGGATCGATTTGGAGGTGGGGGGTCCGTCATGGTCTGGGGCGGTATATCACATCACCATCGGACTGAGCTTGTTGTCATTGCAGGCAATCTCAATGCCTTGCGGTACAGGGAAGACATCCTCCTCCCTCATGTGGTACCCTTTATGCATGCTCATCCGGAGATGATCCTCCAGCAGGACAATGCCACCAGCCATACTGCTCGTTCTGTGCGTGAGTTTCTGCATGACAGCAATGTCAGTGTTCTGCCATGGCCAGCGAAGAGCCCGGATCTCAATCCCATTGAGCACGTCTGGGACCTGTTGGATCGCAGGGTGAGGGCTAGGGCCATTCCCCCCAGAAATGTCCAGGAACTTGCAAGTGCCTTGGTGGAAGAGTGGGGTAACATCTCACAGCAAGAACTGACAAATCTGGTCCAGTTCATGAGGAGGAGATGCACTGCAGTACTTCAAGCAGCTGGTGGCCACACCAGATACTGACTGGCACTTTTGATTTTGAGCCTCCCTTCATTCAGGGACAGATTATTCTCTTTCTGTTAGTCACATGTCTGTGAAACATTTTTCGTTTATGTCTTATGGTGTTGACTCTTTTAGTGTTCATACAAATATTTACACACATTAAGTTTACTGAAAGAAAAAACAGTTGAAAGTCAGAGGACGTTTCTTTTTTTGCTGAGTTTATTTGCTTATTGCACTGTATCTTTGTGGATATGATTTTACACAACACAAATGTGAAAGTACATGTTTTGGATAGTGAGATATTTGTGTATATTTTTTTTACAGGTCTCCGCAGTACACATTGGACAAAATTTCACAAATGTGTAAAAAGGAAGTTACAAATGTAACATGACCCACAAATTGACAGAAAGCAATCTGAAAATGTGCAAAAACTGTTTTGTGTGCAGAAGTCACTTTTTGTTGGTATGAATTTACACATTAAATATACACATTTGTGGATTGTTTTCTGTGGGTCACAGATGTTTTGTATAACTATATCACTTGCATTTGCTGCCTTCAGTATGTCTTTTGAATAGCATTTACTGTATATGTTATTTCCTCTGAATTTATAGGAAATATGTGAAAGAACTGCTTAAATTCATGTATGGGTTAACTTCTTTTGGTGGGGCACACTATGATGATGCAAACTTGCCTGTCACAATATTTGTTTTTGGAATACCAATATCAAGTCTAATTAAAAGTTTATGCATTTGAAATGAAAATGAATTCTCTTCAGGGGTGTGTCCAAGCAGTGTCTGGTGCAGCCCCATTATCCTAAACTATGACTGGTTATCTGCCTGGTCAGAGGTGGGACTCTAGTTTGAACCTACTGTTCAAAGAGCAATTTTGAATGTGCATCATCATCTTTTGTATGGAGTGAGATTGTGGAGGTAGACACTGACTGGAAAAAAGTTTGGATGATTCCTCACAGAAACCTGATGGTAAACAAGGTGAAGGAAGTGTCGTTCAGAATAATTCACAGATATTACCCTGCTAATCATTACATGGTTAAATTTAAAAGAGACATAAATACAAACTGTTCTTTATGTGATGACCACCCAGAAACGGTTGTTCCTCTTTTGGTATTGCTCACACACCAGAACATTTTGGCAAACTTCAGCAGATTCATCATTGACCATGTTTATAAAGACTTAAAGTTAAAGTAAAGAAAATATATATTTCATTATAAATGTATTAATTCTGTTGGCAAAATTCCACATTCATAAATGTAAATTCAGCAGAATTTACAAATTTTATACTTTTTATCCATGAAGTTGTGCATTATATTAATTTCCTTTCCTTTTAAAACTCCAGGGTAGCGTTTTAGTGCAGACAGACAAAAACATAGGACTTTTAGCTTTCACATTTAGCTTTCTGATTGGGTCTTATCAGTAATGCAAAATAAAAACGACAAATCTACTGACAGTGTTTCAGTTTTGGTGTTTTTATTAAAATATTTTCTACTGTGCGAATAACACCTAAAAAAACTTGTAGTGTGCATGTTGCTGAATACTACAACTCCCAGTCTGTTTTCTGCCACCACAGTGCTTCTTTCAGTAACAGTTCCACCTCGTTCTCGGTCCATGCAAAAAGATCTCTGGTGTGGTTCTTCATCTGTAGTAGTACTTTCTTCTTTCACCAAATCTTCTGTAACTGTGGAGTAGACAGTCGGCTTACCATCCTGTTAACACAGCCATACCACGACGTTAACGTTAGTCCTGCTAGTGTTTACAGCTAACAGCTTATGGGAGTTTTACTGGATCCGCTAAAGAACGCAACATAACTTTGACTTTTTATTTATCAATAGAGCCACGTTGTTGTTTCTCAGCTCTTGTCTGGTGAACAACCTGCTAGTATTTCTGAAAGCGATGTGCTTATGTTTTTTCCCCCCTCTGTCTGCAAAGGGAGTTTTTCCTTGCCACCACATGCTCATAGTGGGAATTGTTGGCTCTCTGTTAATATTATTACAAAGAGTACGGTCTAGACCTGCTCTATGAAAAGTGCAACGAGAAAATTGATTTATGACTTGGTGCATGTAAATCAAATTTAGTTGAATTAATTAAAGTAGATACGATAAATGGTAAATGTTATTCTGAGGAATGCCACTTGGAATGCTGCATTCAGATTTAATGGTGATGAATTCAGGTGAAATTAACTTCATGTGGCAGAGGCTGGTAGATTTTGAAGAAAGTCTAGTCTGTTGGAGATCTGGAGACCATCTTACATGCTTTTATCACAACATCTCATAACTTTCTTTGCGTGGGAGTCACCCTTATCTCTGGTGCAGGTATTTCAAAACGCAACATTTGATCTATACTTTTTAAATGTACTCTCTTTAAATAAATTCAGTTGATTATTAGCTTTGGTGATGTAGTGACAACTGGGCTTTTTCCTAGTCTTTCATGGGTCTTTAGAAAAACAGACTTGAATGCCCTTTACGATTTAATAAGATTCTAAATGTACAGTATAGCTGCTTTTAGATAAAATGGAGATTAGATTAAAGGTGTCCACGCTCATTTTCCCTTTTGTCCTCTGTAATCTGGTTTATCTGAAAAAGTCAGAAGGACATGAAAGCAGTTGACAAATGGTAAGAAATGAGTTGATAACTGCCTGTCAGTGTCTCTAGATAGAACATACTGTGTGGTTCATATGGTAATTGTGGCCTGAAATAGTAAAATAAATTGGGTAAAAAGGGAACTGAAAAGAAAATAACTTTATATATTTCTGTATTTCTGTCAGTGATTGAAATGTATCTTTTGGAGTTTTAAAGAAGTTGTGGAAAGTTGTGTTGCTTTGCTAAACTGAGCCTGTGAAAAGACCCATTTTATCAGATGTAGTTAAACCATTACGCCGGCTCTGCAGTTACTTCATTAACGGCAGCACGTCTGATGTAAATGTAAAGGAAACAAAGGCTGATTTACTGCCACAGTTGGTTTAGATCGAGCCTGTCTGATGTTGAAACAAAATCTAATCCATCAGTGAGCTTTTGGAAAGCAGCTCAGAGAGCATGAGAGATGCACAGTAGGTGAAGAAGAGTCAGCGCCTGCTTAGTTTAAATGAAACAAAGCCTGCGAGCCTTCAGTTCAGCAGTGGTTCTTGTTCCTGCACACAGTGTCTAGCAGAATAAGTCGAAGCTGTGGGAGAGTAGTTGTAACTTTCTCCTCCAGTCTTATCAACACACCTTCAAACTAAAACGTTATACAGCAGAGAACCATGGCTCAGACAGACGTAGGACACTGTCTTTTTTTCCAAGTTGAATATGGAACTATTTAAACTCCTCAGGTTGATCTAAGCGCTTTTGTCATTTTATATTGGCCTCTTAAGATTTTATTTCTAATAATACAATAAATTTTTACCATAAATATAAATTGTGCTTTTGATGACATATTAATCTGTATATTTTTCCAATTAATGGTTTCTTATTTCTGATACTGTCATTAGTCAATTTCACTTAGTTTATATTAT